GAGAGAGAAATGCACCACATCCATCTCAAAATAAACTTGCATATACTCGGGAAGACGGTTAAATGACTTCATATATTTTTCCAAGTGAAACAACCAAATATTTTCACCTTGTCTTCCCATTTTGGATCCTGGCTGCACATTAATGCACATGGGGAGATTGTGGGCAGATTCTCCACGAGTGGGGGCTAGGAAGTAGTTTTTTAAAGTCGATTTTTCAAAAAAATGAAATCCTTCTACCACCACCCACACCCACACTCCCGTTGAGAATCACCTGTTTTGCTTATTTGGGCTACTCTTCCTGCTGGTTCCTTCAAGCCACTTAATTTACTTCGGGCATCCCAAATTTACATGCCACTTAAAAGAGCAGTTAACGGGACATGGCTGACACATTTAGCTGTGATTCCCAGGCCTTGTGTTCCATGCTCAGTCTTGCACCATCCTGCATTTCTGCAATTCGTGGTTTATTTTCACTGGACTTCATCTGACTGATGAATTGCACCATTTGGTTGAACAAATCAAACGTCTACCTTGTGAAAGGCAAAGCAGAACAGCAAGGCACAGATTCTCCTCTCAAATACCTTTAGTCAGATGAATAGGTTGGGGGTAAGGTAAGCACTAAAATACAAGAGATTGGTAAACAAAGGCTCAGGAATTCTGCAGGCCCCTTTAAACTGACATCTGACATTTGAGTAATATCACAAGAGCTGTGGAACCTTCAAAGGAAGATGGTGAAGAAAACTGACACTTGATGAATGTCTACTATGCGCCAGGCACTATGAGATAAGTTAGGATTAGGCGTGGCTGAGAGGCACACAAAAAAACTAAAATAATGTTGGCTTATTTTAAAAGAATGTTTATTTTGATCTCCTGTTTGAGAAATCCCAGGCTGGTCAGGTGCGCTACAGTGTTCGGGATCCTTCTATCTTTCTCTCCTTTCCCAAGATTACCTCATGTCTACAACAGCCTCTAGAGTTCCAGCCATCAGGAGGAGGGAAGGACGGTACGCCTACTCCCTTCGTGTTGCTCAGAACACTACTGCCGACATTCCACTGGCCAGACTTAGTAGATGGACACAGGGAGGCTTTGATATGGAGTCTTTATTTCCAGTGGTCGTATGTCTCGCTAAAGACTAGGGACTCTATTACTATGGGAGAAGGGAAGAACAGATATTGGGGAACAACTGGCAGCCTCACACCATGTTAAGGACCTTATATGCTTTAGAGCATTTATTTCTCCTAACGACTCATGAGAAAGAGATCTCCTGGGTCTTTACCGATAATTCCTACCCTGCAACACTTTTGCAATCACTCGGTATCAATTGCAATCCTAGGAGGTATCTTTTTCAATTCTATCTAAAACATGAGCAAGAGGAAGGTGGCTGCAAGGCTGAGCCTTGTTAGTCAACCCTGAATGGATGCCTCTCCTGGGCTGGCACTAATCCTTGGAGGTCAGCCTTCCACAGCTGTGGGCCCATCCACCAGGAGACAGTCAGAAGACATGTGCATTTTCACCCAGTGGTGTGTGCTACAGCCAGCTCTTTGAGGCTTGTCAGAGCTGCTGATGTCCATCTTTTCCAAACCCCAAGTTCAGTTGTTTGGTAATCAGTGCTAGTAGCAGTATTTACACCATGGAAATTGGCAAATGTATATAGATCAGGGACTTCTTCCTATAAAATCGGTCATTAAACATTTACCAACATACCACTGTAAAAAGTTACAACTTCAGCAAAAAACCAAAACCACAAAATATGCACCTAACTTGGTCTTTTATTTTATCGCTATGATTTGCATCCATAAAGATAAAATAAACCAGGATTCTGCCCTCTTGATGTTTTTGCCCATAGACCACAAAAAATCTTATAAATATTATTTCATTCATTCTCACAGCACCCTGGGAGGTGTAGTGACTTGCCTGAGGCAGGGCAGAAAATCGATGCTGAAAAGCAGAACTAAATTGGTCTGTACTGCCTCTGACACCCTTCCTATCCATCAATACAATGCCCTACAGACTAGGCATGGGTAGCAATCACCAAAGGTACTTTTACCTCACAACCCAAACACCCAAACTCTCTTTCTACATGCTATATTCTATCTAATGTTCTGTCCTTTGAGTATAGATTTCACAACCCAAATCGTCCCACCCTCTGCACTTGGAGGTTTTCCCCGGGGTTGTGTGTGGTCTTCAATTAATCAACTTCCTCTGCGTTCTTTCTCCCTCTAGTCCAATGGCATGTGTTGGAAAAAATAGTTGGCCAGAGTTAGAGTTCTGTTCTGATTCTAACAGAGGCAAGTGGTGTCAGAACCAATCAACATATGGTTTTATTTGTGAACCTTTCTCCGGACTCCCAGAGGGCAGAGACCCAAGAGTTGTTTCTCTCTTTGGCCTCACTTCCATAGTACTTTGGGAGTGAATGAATAATACTTATAATAAACAGTCTCTAAATTGGCTCCCAGTGATCCTCACCCTTCAGTGGATTTCCATGCCCACGTGTAGCCCCTGCTGTCCCTTGAGTATGGATAAACCTAGTGATTTTGTTTCTAATGAATAGAATAAGGCAAAAGTGACAGATGTCACTTCCAAAATTAGGTTACAGAATGACTACGCCTTCCATTGCCTTTTTTTTTTTTTCGAGAGCTCTCTGCCCCTCATTCTCTCTCTCTCTCTCTCTCTCTCTCTCTCAGCACTTGCTCTGGGGGAACAAGGTGCCATGTTTATTTATTTATTTTCTTATTTATGTAATTTATTTTCTTGAGGAAACTAATCCAGAATAGCCATGTTTTTAAAATATGTTTTTATTGATTTTAGAGTGAAGAGGGGAGAGAGAGAGGGAGAGAGAGAGAGAGAGAGAGAGAGAGAGAGAGAGAGAGAAATTGGCTGCCTACCAAACACACACCGACCCGGAGATCGAGCCCAAAACCTGGGCATGTGCTCCAACCACCAACCAGGAATTGAACTGGCGATCTTTCAGTGCTGGGGTCAATGCTCGACCAAGTGAGCCACACTGGCCAGGGCACAAGGTACCATGTTTTAAGTGGCCTTATGAGATGCCCACATCGCAAGGAACTGATGTCTTTGGCTGACAGCTAGCAAGAACCTGAGGCCTGCCAACGGCCATGTGATGAGTTGGAAATGGATACCCTGAGGCCTGCCAGTAGCCACATGAGTGAGTTTGAAAGCAGATCCTCCTCGAATCAAACCTTGAGGTAACTATAGTCCCAACCAACTCTCTGATTGTAGTCTCATGGGAGACCCCAAGCCAGAAGACCCACTAAGTACACCCAGATTTCTGACCCACAGAAACTGTGCAATAGCATTTGTTGTTTTAAGTTGTTACATTTTGAGGTAATTTGTCATATGACAACAGATAACTAATGCAACCCTCAAGCCACAAAGGCAATAGTCAAACATTTTCATGATATAAATTACCTCCACTGGGTGGGGCCTCGCACTCCTAACAGGACTTTAGCATGGCCTCCTCTTATTCAATCTTTAATGTTCATAACACTTAAAAGTCTGCTTTCAGGGTAAGACCGTTCCCATTTTGAGATTGATCCAACACCCCAAACTACACGGAAAGGAAGTAAGTCAATGGCAACCTGGCAACTGGCAACTCAAAAGTCCTCTATGTTATGAAGTCACAAATTATCTGGTAAAAGAGAGGCCAGAAAGGGAAGTAGACGCGATGCTACAAGCTGCCCTTTCTGGTCTTGCATGAGTAATTCTTGCAGCTGGAGTTTCACTACAACCACAGGATTGTGGCACCACGAAGGTGGCCATTTTCAAATCTGGCCTGACATCAGAATGTAATTCAACTAGATGAACCCGGGACTTGGCCAAAATAAGTAGCACTTAAATAACTGGGGCCAAAGAGTAGCATCACTTTTCTGTGGGGCCATATGGCTGTGACGTGAAGAAATAAAAGCCTTTGTTGTTTTAAAGGGCAGGGACAATTGGAAGTTCTGCAGCAGACAGTTACAAAACTTTCCACCCTCAGCTCACCAAGGAAGATACCAGCTAGTGGCTTTGGGAATTGGGTGTGGAAGGTGTTGCTTGGAAAAGAACATTAAATTGATCCTGGACAGAATGTGAACCAATGTTACTACATTTCTCAAAGAGGCTAAAAGACTCGTTAGCCCCTTAAATTGCGAATTCACTTTCCTGTTCTAACATCTCCTGGAAATCCTAACATTCTATATCAGGAGAGGCATGGAAGGCTACCCCACCCTCTCACAAAGAGCAAATTCTGATTTTTCCAGAATAATTTTGGAGTGAGGTGTTTTTTTTAATCATCTTAAAAACAAAACACTCTCCCCTGAATTGGGTTTTGCTTCTCTGTTTTTTATACTTGTCTGCCTGGGACACAGCAAGAAGACACTCCTCTGTGATCTTTTCCACCTGGGATGGGTTTTCTGCATCTTACGTGTAGATTGGTTTTAAAATATTGGATTCATCTTTTGTACTTTTCTTTTTAAATAATTATCCCTATTACCTAACACCAGGGAGCTGTCTGGGTCTATAATCTGAATAGAAGCTCATTAACTAAACTGGTTTTAGTTGCATTTGAGACACAGTATTTTATCTTGTCGGTTTTCATGTTATTTGATGACGGTGCTTGCAATTTCTCCCACAATAAGCAAAGGTGACTTAGATCAGGGGCCTGATGAATAAGCAAGAAAATTTGATTTAGAAAAGGAGAATATCCTGAAGCTCGTGAAGAGAAAAAAGGATTTTCAACCGCCCCACCCCCCACCCCCCCACCAGCACCACCACCACCACCACACACTTTAAATGACAAAGCAAAGCAGCAGCACTATCTTTAAGCAACATCTTTCAACACAGCATCAATGCTCCCCAAGGTTAGGTAATAAGAATATCAATTTAGGAAGAAAAAAGAGGAGCCCTTAAAAAAATACAAGGAAGAAATGAGACATTTTAGAAGCAAATGTCATTAATCCTTCATATTGCCTTGAGGCAGAAACGCCCAAGTAAATTAAAAATACCGTCGTGGATGTGAGGGGGAGATGGATGCTTTGGAAGAAAACGATGAGGATTCCTGTTGAGGATCCGATGGAAAAACGCGAGCGTCTGCTGCCTTACGTTGGCCCAAGTGATTCAGCCCTCCAGTCGCATTAACAGGAGTGGGGAACCACAAAGACCTGTGGAAATAAAGAAAATAAAAGAAACACCGAGGAAGCCGAAGTCTCCCGTGAAAGGGAAGGAACCCAATTAATTGTCTTAGATTTCGGGATCAGTTTTTTCCCTGCTAGAGAAGAGGCTCACGGGGGGCAGCAGAGGCAGCAACTTCTGCAAACACGAAACCCGATCAGACACCCCTCAGGGCTCCAGCGCCAGGAGGAAGGGCTCGGCCAGGAGGAACGTTTGTTAAAGTATAGGATTGCTCTGTGACTGCGTGCGCGACAGAGAGCGGCAGATCTTTCCTTTCTCAACATGTCACTTTCCTGCGTGGGGATGCCTGATGTTCCCGGCTGCCCCGCGAGAGGGGAGAGGCGCCGGGACCCCCGCCCGCGCGCGGCAACTTCTGACCTCGCCTGGAGGAACCCGAGAGCGCGCGCTGGCGTCCAGTGCCTGGAGCGGGGCGAAGATGTGACGGAACAAAAGGACGCTGCCAATCAGAAAACGCTACCCGAGAACTAAAATTACCTCTCTTTGTGTTTTTGAAAACTCTTTAATTAGCACATGCCCTGTTTTCTAACACGCATTAAAACTTTCCTTCCCAGATTCCAAACAGAGGATCAAAGTATTGCTTCTGCAACTAAGATGGGAAAACAGGGCCATTGAAACCTCGCTTTAACCCGTACAGAGTGTTCCTAGGCACTCGGGCTCGGGGTACTTGTATAACCATTCACCCCCAACGCTTCGTTTTCTTAAAACCTCACTAAAGCTACCCCCCATCGCTGTACTCTGGGCCGTGCGCGCGGGCGGGGTAGTCTGGGGCCAGGGTCCCCTGCTCCCGCCGCTCTCGGAGGAGGGGTCTGCCCTTCCTCCCGCCTTAGTCGTCTCCCTCCTCTCGACTCCCTTTTCTCCTCGCTGCGGCCCCTCCTCCTTTTTTACAACCCGGAGTAGGGGGGAGAGGAGATTGTGGCCTCACGTGGTGTGTTGGGGTCTGGGGAGAGAAAAGCGATCTGCGAGGTGCACCCCCTTTCGCCCCTTACCGAACCCTACTAGTAGGACCCGGCTGCCCAAAAGTCCCGAGAAACCCAGCATTTTCAGACCCAGAAGGGCTACCGCGACTCTCTCTGCTCAGGCGCTGCGTTATTCTCAGTTTCTCCCCAAAAAAGTCTATCCCGATGCGCCATTCAGGGATGTGTTTTAGTGCACCCAGAAGAGGAACAAATCTCTCAAGCAAACTCCCTTTCTGGTGCGTGTACCCCCCCAACACCCGAGCGAATTCAGGGGTAAAAGTTTTTAACTTTTCTCTCCCAGCCCCCCGCCCCTCCCCGCAGGAATCCGCCCAGAGCGCTGCAGACGCCGCCTCTCAGGTTCCCTCGCCGGCCCCCTTCTGACTTCCACCCAATCCGAACGCGGCCGCACAGAAAACAAAGGCTGCCATTGGGCAGCCCTGGACCTCGAGGGCCCGC